TCCCACATGTGACGGATGAGAGCTGCATCTCACCTCTATGCGCGTGTCAGCGCGGTCACGGAAGCTACCGAGTGGAAAGGGCTCAGGCGGCCACTGAATCCTAGCCGTGGGTGAGTGACGCCCCGGTCAAAGGCCTTCGGAAAAGGGGGACGTGCTGATCGTCTGTATCAGACTATTTAGTCCTGGCCAACAGCAAATCCAAATTGCCGGCAGAGAGTTCTTGTGGAAGCCAACCTGAAGCTTCCGACGACGGCTACCCCTGGTGTCTCTTTCGGGAGATTCGGCCAAGTTGGGACTCGGCTGGACGGCTTCCCCCAGTGGTGACTGTCAGATGCTGGAAGACCGAGGGTCCGGCTGCCTTCCTTGGTAGGCTGACCTTCAGCGGCTGGCCTTCTTACCTGAACTGCGCTTTCCGGTGGCTTTGTTGTCCCCAGACCCGCTTCGTGGCCTGTCCTGGAGAGACCACCTGGGGCCAGCCTGCTTGGCCGGTCCTCCGTCCTGGGGCCCGGCCACGGTGCCACTGTCGGTCGTCATGGCTGCTGAGGTGTTGGTTTCCCGGGCCATCTTTGTCCTGGGCGATGTGTGTAGGCCGGCTACACATCGAGACTGGTTGTCAGTCTAAGCAACTGTGACTGGGATGGCTTTTCCTTGATGAGATTTGGATCATCGCATAATCGGTGAGGCTGCAGAATCAGCCCAGGGGTTTTTGTCGCACAGCGGGGCCCGCCCGGGCTCTGCGACCGAGTGTATTTCCTGGCCGGATCCTGCATCTCTAGACCGAGGCAACTCGGAGAGCCACGGGGGAAGCACGAGTGAGCAAGCCTGGAGTGAAGTCCAGACACGCCCCTTCTTCTCCGTGAACCCGCACACGGGGCGCAACTCTCCAGGCTCCGTTTTCTCATCTATAGAATGGCAATGCCGACTCATCCATCTCATGGCACGACGTACCAGCGTTAAACAGGGTGACGCACATGGAGGGCGCGACGTGTTCCTGGGACGCAGTGACGCACACTGTCTACTCTGCCAATCCAGCGTTGGAGCTTTCCTAATGAGTGACCTTGATGTTGGGACCCGCCCAACTTCCCATAGAACTAATGATGCAGTTTTTCAAAGTAAACATAGATGTTGGCCTTCCTGGCCTTAAGGCTTGACACATGCACTCGTCTCATCTGAGGAGACCTTAGCTCTCAGGCCTACGGTTTCAAGAACCAGAAACTCGCCTCTTCCCCACGTCCAGACGATGAGGTGCCAGACCCCACCTGTTTTCCCACTCCCCTCCCTCACCCGCCCCAGGTCCTGTTGGCCGACTTCTCTTCCACCCCCTGCCCGACTCCTGTTCTCCGGCTCCTCTTCCTCGCCCCACCCTAGCGCCTGTTTTCTACACTCCTGCTCCCTTGGGTGAGCCTCAGACGTCACTGGGACAGGGAGATGGATTGGAGACGGCGTCTCCCGTCTCCCCAGCTGGCGTCACCACCCAGGTGAGCCTTCCTCCCCGGCAACGCTTGCCGTCTCCGTGACTGGCTTTCTGTGTGGCGAGCAACCAGGACCTGACCAGCCCTGCTGTTTGGGGGACGGTTCTGAGGGCCAGGAAGTCTAGTTCCCAGCTTTCCTACGGGGGCTTCGGACACGGGTGAGAGAACAGTGGGCACATGACCGGCCACCCCCTCGTACCGCAAAGGCCCGCTGCACGGAGGGCACGCTGCTGAAGGCGACCACGACTGGCACGACGTCCAGCGCGCTGAACTCCAGCGTGGCCGTGGTGACGGCCGGCGCGTCGGCGGACTGACCGCCGCTGAGAAACGTGGCGATTCTCCTGGTGTGCGTCCCCGCCAGCGTCCGCTTGAAGACATTCCTGGCGACGAACCTCATGGCCTGGCCGAGCTCGCGGCTGGCCGAGGACCGCTCGTAGGGAATGGCCTCGACCTCCTGCAGCAGCTGGGTCTTCCCGGGGGTGTCGGTGAAGCGCACGAGGAGCCTGGGGTGGGCGTCGTAGGTGAGGACGGCCACGCGCGCGCCCACGGGGCAGCCATCGCCCCGGACCCGGATGCCCCGCAGCAGGGCCGCGGTCATCTCCTTCATCCGTGTGAAGTCCTGCTCCGAGACGTCCCGGGACTGGTCCAGGGCGAACACCAGCTCGGTGGGGTGTGCCGGGCACCTGAGCTGCCCTGGAAGGCAAGAGGGTGGCTGTCACAGGCGGCCCGCTTGCAGGAGATATCATGGGAGCGGGTCACTGCATGTCAGCTGTGCAAACATGCAGCCCTGGGCAGCTGATGGTTTAGGTGCTGAGACACACGTGGACGACAGTAAACACTCAAGCCCTGCACACTTAAAAATGCTCTTCGAAAGCTCAGTTTGCTCTTTTGATCAAGCACAAAAGGAGAACGTCTAGAACTTAATTTTTACGAAACGTCCAAGGTAATCACCAAGGTCCTCCACACGAGAGGGCTCCGGGACCTGCCTGTGACCTGCGGAGGCTGACGGGGGCCTTGGCGTTTGTGGATGGAACTTTACTCATATAAACTAAACGTGTTGGCCTCGTTTCTTTTACTTGATGAGGAAATACAAAGAGTTCAAGCAGAACAGCGATGGAAGCTTGGCGAACAGTTTCAGAGAAGTGGGGAGAAAACGCACACGCAGCGCACAGAACAGACGTCAGATGCGAGAGGCGGCCATGCGGGGCAGCATCGAGAGCCCTGGCCCCGACGGCCACATGGCCTCGTCCCCACCACTTGTCCTCACTTCTCACCGCGCCTCAGCTTCCTCACCTGTCACGTGCGAGTCATAACGTCACCTCCTACCCGGCCTGAGGTGAGGGTTAAATGAATCGACTCAGGGAAGGCACTTAGAACAACAGTGCCTGGCGCACAGTAGGTGCACAATGAGTGTCAGCCACCGCTGTGATGGTTGCTACCACAGGCTTTTTCATGGTGACTGGGCGCTCTGTCACTGAAAGGAGGGTGAGAAAGCTTAGTGGAGACGTTTTCATCTCACAGTGAGAGTGCACGTTTGCTCAAGAACTGCCTTTTCACGCGGGGAAACGGACTCAGCTTACGCCCAATGCCAGTGCTAACTGCAGAGGCGCCCATCCTGGCACACTGGTCCCGAGTCATTCCTGCTGACCCCAGGCCCTGCATACCCACGGTTAGCCATGTGCATTTGCTCATCTGATCACCGTTCCCAGCTTCCCTAGTGTGGCGTGTTAGACGGGAATGGTGTCTCTGCCGGTCTCCCGGGCCGCCAGCCCCCACCTGGTGGATGCTTCACACACACGGTGTGAGAAAGCCCAGCGAGGAGCAGCTCCTGCCAGCGGGTGCAGAAAGAGCAGCGGTGCTTGACCGCGTGGCGGCCGGTGCTGGGCGGCCGCTGGGTGAGAGGACACGGCAGGCCTGTGCTTCCCATGGCCGGCGGCTACTCCCATCCAGATGCCTGCATGTCACTTGCGGAGATGGATGCAGCATGGCCCACTGGGCTGCAAGCCAGCGCAGGACTCAGACGCCCGGGCTTGCCTCGCCGTCGGCCACGGGCCTGGGCCCTTGCCTACCTCTGTGCTAATGGTCACTGCCTCTGTCCTTGACTCCATGACCTTCCAAGGTTCACGAGTCCCACCTCCCAGTGAGAATGAACTTTCACCCTAAGCCAAAGTGTCCGTCTCGGTGGAGACAGGGCAGGGCTCATCAGCCTCGGGGTCTAAGTGAGCAGGCTGAGCAGATTAAAAACACCAGAAAAGTTTCAGGTGAGATCTAGACATAAAGGGGGAAATTCACAGCACTGGCTGAAGATACAGAGAAAAGCAAGTTTGCAGGAACAGACACCCAAGGGCGAGTTCCGCGTGTGAGACCCAGGTGGCAGCCCTGAGCCTCGGGCATCTCCAGGCTCTGCATTGCCGGCTGGGCTGTGGCGGCTCATCCTGAGGTAGGAGGAAGTGGGCACACCCCGGGCGGTGACGGGCCACCCCCAGTGGCGCCAAGTGGTAACTGTGAGGTACTGGAAGCCAGCACCGGGAGCGTGGCGCCCGCTCGGCGGTGGGCATCAGGCTGAGTGCGGGCTTGGAGCTGCAGCCCTGCTCCCGGCACCTGGTGCCCCGTGCGGTTCTGGCCCCTGCGTGTTCACCGCGATCCCTGGGGGACAGAGGCCGTGCGGCAGCGAGTGAGAAGGAAGGAAGCCAGAAACACGAAAGGTGTGAAAGCAAGTGAGTGGTGGCATCAATCACTAAGATCCAAACGCGAGAAGCAGGGCTGAGGACCGCGGGCTGCCTGGCTGCAACTGATGGCTTGTTGCAGGCAGGACGTGGCCCTGGCACAGGCGGCAGAGGCCCCGACGGCACGCATGTCAGCCGGAAGAAGGCGCTGCTGGAACGTGTCTTCCCAGACGTGTGACATCCTGGGCTTGACTGAAACACATCGTGGAGAGAGGGTACTCACCGCGTCCGCCAGCTGGGGAGGAAGAACAGAGGAGACGGGTTACTGCCTGGGAGGGGACAGAGTTCCGTGCCGTGCGCCCTGTCTGCTTTTTATAGATGGCTCGAAATCGAGGCAACAGCTGGGGTTTGGAGAACACACAGAGCCCAGCGCCTTGGCAGGAGTGGCGTTCCCTCCACAGGGCGGACGGTGGGCGGAGAAGGGGGACTACATGGCCCCCAGCAGACAGAGCGGCCTGCCACCCACGGTCGGGCAAGGGACACCCTCGGAGGAACATGGTGAGGCCAGGAGGCACGGGATGTGGGGGCTCAAACAGTCTGACCCTCTCTCGCCTAGCCGTCAGCTCCACATACACGTGTGCGTACAAACGTGTTTGGGACTGAAAAACTGGCATTTATTTATAAAACACGGTTTGTTCTGACATGCTTAAACTTCAGTCACCTTCCAAGTACTCTCTGTGGGATGCAATTCACCTATCGAGACACTTTCTCCACTGACAAAAACGGCTTTTGAGCTCATCCCTATTGATGCCTTGCAGCGCCTCTGCTGTTTTCGGTTGCCCCTCTCCACGTTAGCAGAAAATACTTTCCCTTGGAGGACTCTTCATCCCAGGAAACAAACAAAAGTCCCTGGGGGCGAGATCGGGTGACCGGGGAGGGTGGGGCATGGGGTCGGCCGTTTCTGGCCAAACGCTGCAGAACACTCAGCGCCGTGTGGGCAGGTGAGCTCGTAAGTCACGCGGTGACAGAATCTCCAAAAAAAAAAAAAAAAAAATTCCCTGAAGCAAATGCAGCCTCTCAGGACAACACTAGCTAGCACACGATGCCGGGGGGTTCCCGGAACACTTACTTGGCGGGGAAGTCTGGACTCCAAGGGCCCGCCCTCCAAAGACAATTCCATGTGGTCTCCCGTGTGTATGTAGCACCTGCATGTATGTGTGTATTTGCATGCTACACAAACGCCACAGGAGCATTTATTAATCCCCTGGAGTCATGAGCGTTGGCTTTGGACCTGCACCGTCTGGCACAGCAGCCACGAGCCATGATGGCTGTCAAAATTTTAATTGAAATTAAATGAGGCTGCGCGTGGTGGCTCAGCCTGTCATCCCAGCACTTTGGGAGGCTGACTCGAGGATGGCCTGAGCCTGGGGGTTCGAGACCAGCCTGGGAGCTTGGTGAGACCTCAGCTCTACAATAAATCACAAAAACTAGCCGGGCGTGGCGGTGTGCGTCTGTAGTTCCAGCTACTCGGAAGGCTGAGATGGAAGGATCACCTAAGCTCAGCAGGTTGAGGCTGCAGTGGCTGTGAGTGTGCCACTGCACTCCAATCTGGGCAATAAGAGTGAGACTCCAACTCAAAAAAAAAAAAAAGCACCAGATATATTATTGTTTGGCACTTGAAACTGGTTCCAGCAGATGTGCTGGCAGCCAGAGAGGGTGTTAACAGGCACCGAACGAGTCTATGTACACACAGCATAGATCTTTGCTGACTCAAAAGACACACAGCGACATCTCTGATTTTAAGAGACTGGCTGGCAAATTGTCTCCATTCTGAGTGTTGAGTTCCCTGCTCTTCTGCGACGCTGACGAGGTGGGCAACGGTTTTAAGAGGTACTTACGGCTGTGGTCTTGCACATACTGAATGAGCTCACATGTCTGCAGTTCAAAAATAAGACAGAAGGAGTCAACCCAGATGCTGGGCCCGAAGCGGAACAGTAAACAAAGGCAGGGCACCCCGCGGCAGACGGGAGGGTGGTTAGGAGATACGTACGGAGAACGAGGCCAGGCCCTTGGCTCCCTTTACACCCTGGAACAACAAACACACACCACATCGTCCCGTGGCTCCAGGCAGGTGCGCCAGTAGCCAGAATGAGCACCCGCGCTGCCTTAAGAAAGTGGTGACGACTTTTACAAGCTGTTATTCTTCTCAGGTTAGGCGGAAGGAACACAGGAACGGGCTGCTGGCAGCCAGCCTGGCACACACAGCCCCAACGGCCACTGTCCTCCACCTCAGCTTCAGGTGGCAGGGCGTGTTCAGAGTCTAGGGACGAAGCCTGCCGGATGCTGACGGCCAAGTGGGAGCAGGCCAGGCTTGGGCCTCACCAGGGCTGGACCCCTGCGGGCAGCTGCCCCTCCTCACAGTGGGTTCAGAGACCGCAACCACTGGCTGTGTCTTGGCCGCTAGACAGCCAGAGGCGGCCCTTACCCTCTTCCCATCATCGGTCGGATGAAAAGGATCAGCTCAAACAGAACATCTGGAAAGGGTGTCCCAGCTATCTTCCAAGCATGAATGAATGAATCTGTCTTATCTAGCTATCTGATCTCTCTCCCTCCCTCTCTTTCTCTCTCATCTATCTTTTATCTATCTATCCATCCTGTCATCTATATCTATCTGTCTGTATCTATCTATCTATCTATCCTATCTATCCATCCTCTCTATATCTCTGTCCATTCCATCTCTCTATCATCTATCTGTCTGTCTGTCTGTCTATCGATCTCATCTCTATCTACCTACCCCTGCGGGCAGCTGCCCCTCCTCACAGTGGGTTCAGAGACCGCAACCACTGGCTGTGTCTTGGCCGCTAGACAGCCAGAGGTGACCCTTACCCTCTTCCCATCGGTCAGATGAAAAGGATCAGCTCATTATCACGATCTAGTCTGTCTGCCAGTGGTGGGGACAGAAACAACTCAGCGGAGCTGGTGTTATTTCATGTGCTCAATCCGTCTTCAGAACAGGAAGAGTCTGGCTTCTCTTGGAGAGACACCCAAGAGCACACGAAGCAGAGCCCCACCCAAACTTCGGCAGCAAGCAAGCTCTGTGTGGAGGCAGCTTCGATGAGGTCGCTCTTTGCTATTTTCCTTTCACTTTCATTCATTCAGCGATGACTTATCAAATGAAGAGAGGGCAGTGATTGGGCAGATACGTAAAACCCACTGATAATCGAGATCGTTTTTGTCGCAGATTTTTCATTGTCTCCCTCAATTTCCCCTGCCTCCCAACAGATATATTACATCAGCACTTGTCCTCCTCTCTCTGAGCACCTAAATGTGGACACTCGTGGCCAAGCAGTGGAGAAGGACAGCGTGCACATTTGGACAGTGGAGCTCCATGCACTGATTCCTTTCGGGGGAAAAGGGCCTGGTGTGATTTACAGCTTTTCTACTCACCTTGCGTCCAGGCGGTCCTGGCTCCCCGGGGGATCCCAGCTCTCCTGGAAGCCCAGCAGACACCTCAAAGCAGGATTCACTTATTTTAAAATTACATTTATACATATATATGCATGCAAATTCAAATTTAAAATGTTTAAAGGTGAACATTCAAAAGTGAAACGTTTCACTTTCGTTTTAGGAAATTAAGAGATTGCCAAGACACAAAGAACAAAACTCCCAGCCATCCCTCCTTCCCCAAATAGCTTTCATTAGCATTCTGATGTCTTTCCTGTTCCTTTGGTATTAAGACCCATATTCCTTTCTTTATTTGAATCCTACTTTTGCCTGTTACTTTTTAAACTATGTCTCTGGAAATCTTCATGTTACTAAATATTCTTTTAGAAAATTATTTTCATGGCTGTAAGGTATTCTACATGATTATAGTATGATTTAATCAGCCCCTTCTTTTTTGGCATTTGGGTTTGTTGTTGTAACAAGTAACGCTGTTTTACATTTACATGCACATTTCTGATTATTTCCTCAGGGAAGATTACCAGGGCTGGAATTGTTGGGTCAAATGAAAACAATGTATCTAAATAAAATGATAGATAAGGAAACTGAAAAGTAAACAAAAAGCAAAAAACCTAGAAAACGAAATTATAGAAACTTTAAAGCAATAACAACAGAAATCTTAACTATTAACTGGAAATGCGTGTAATGGAATGAGAAGTGACAGCAGTAAAAGAACGACAGTTGCCATCTGCTTGCTGTACCTCAGGCATTTTTCATATGTACCCAGCAATGCGTTTTTCACAAATTAAGCTATGACTTAGCTTAGAAATTGGGGTAATGTTTCTTTATCATTCAAAATGCTACAGGATTTACAACCTTTTAAAGTAATAAAAAATGAAGTTGCCTAAAACCAGTCTAATTTGTAAAAGCTTTGCCTGTGAAACAGTAAATGATTATTAGGTCCTTTGAGTAGCCCAGTGATATCGACAGTGTGCTGAGTTGAGTAACAAAAATAAGCCTAATACCCATATTACGTGTGGAAGGCATAGGGCAACCTCCAAGGAAAAAAAATGGCTGATTGAGTGCAGACTATATTAATATATCAAAAATAGGTCTTTTAGAAATAGAGACTAGAGAAAACAGAGGGCAGGACATCATCATAAAGCAATTAATGAACACTTTGAATGGATGGACATCTGCAGGCTCAGAGGTTCTACCTAAGGCCCAGGAAAATAGATAAAAATAGACCACACATCAGGCCATAAAACCCATGAAATACCAACTCAGAGAGATGACCCAACAAGGTTCCAGAGACAACTGGTCACATTCAAAAGATCAGGAATCAAAATGGCTTTGGGCTTCCCAAAGCAACAAGAGAAGCAAGAAATAATGGAGAAATGACTCCCTTCAAAATTCTGAGGAACTAATTCCAACCCAGAATTGTATACTAGCCAACACAGCCAATCGCATCTGAAGGGAGTATAAAGCCGTCTTCAGACATTGGCTGTAGCAACAAAACTACCTCTCGCTCACCCCTTCTTAGCTAGCTACTAGAGGAGTTTTCTGCCAAACAAGAAAGAGATCTGGGAACGGGAGGGAGAAGCAGAGGGCGTCCGGGGGCAGAGGGGCGGGTGTGGCAGGCAGCCCAGGCACGGAGGCGCTCAGGCCGGGCTGGTCAGGGCGGAAGGCTCTGGTCGGGATCGGGTCTCAGAGGACACCTCCTGCGTCTCTTCAGACGTTGTTCCGAAGGCAGGATTTAGAGAAATGGTAAACTGAGAAAGGCAAGTCAGTGACGCTGATAGCAGGAAGTCAGTTCATGAAGCCTAAAACTTTAAAAAGGTACGAACACAAGCCTGATTTTTTTTAAGCAGGTTTGTTGAGAGGACAGAAAAGCTCCCACGGCGGAGGGGACCGTCCCAAGGGGGTTGCCCAGAACACAAGCGTGATGTTTAGAGACCTGTTGTCCATCCCCAAACGATCAGCTCAGAAATGAAAGTTGTTTCTGGGGAGAAGAAATGGGAGGGGTGAGGGGAGGAGGGATCGCTGCTTTTTAAAATGTATATAAGAAACTCTGTGAAGTGATTTGACTCTTTAAACCCGTGGATCTCTACAGGGAGAATTCAGCCTCCCTCACCCCGGGATGTTGGACGACATATGAGGATGCATTTGGTTGTCACAGCTGGGGTGGGGAGTTTCTGATGCTGGAACCGAGGGGCAGGTGCCAGGGGTTTGCTAACCATCCTCCCAGGTGTCTTCCAGTCCACACGGCAGTGGCAGGGTGGAGACCCCTGCTTGAAACTTGTGCAGGTGGTGAAAGGAGAAAAAACACACATGCCAACACATGTATGTGCAAAATCAGACAGCTTAAAATCATGGAGAAATTCTTAAAAGTTTAAGGCAGAAGATCAAGGAGAAGGTTCAGAGAACTTAAACCAGGAATGCAGTCATGGCCAAAGAGGCACTCAGACTTCGAGGCAGTTTCACCAAAACCTTCCAGTAGAAACTTCAGATATCCGAGGGGGAAACCAGGGATGTTTTAATTGTCCAAACTTCACCTTCAAAATTAAAAAAGAAATCCTCACGTGAAGGTGGGAGAAGCAGCCGGGACTGAAACAAGCAAGTAACAAACCGTGATGACAGGCAGGAATCCGAGTTTTTCCAGAGGCCCAGAGGAAATGTTTACATGCTTCTCATTAGTGTGCCGTGTTGTAAACAATGGTTAATGTGCCCCGGGCGGGCCCCAGCAGACAGCTGAGCTTGTTAGCATCCATGTTCGAGGTTGAGCCACCGCACCAGCAAGCCAGGGAACCGGCCCAGAGACGTGTCGGTGCCGATGACATCTGGATTCACTGAAAGTCTGTTCTAGTCACTTTTCTAATGATCTCAGCCTTGATCACTTCCTGTTTGTTGGGCGCCTGATGTGAGGGGACGGCCATCCCAAGCTGTGTGGGGAGGTGAGTGATCCCCGGGAAGCTGCCTTGGGGGGACAGGAGGCAGGGAAGGAGACGTTCCTTACTTGTGTGCCCCCAAACCCTCACTAGCAACCTCTACACAGAAAGTCCTTGTTATAGTTTTAAAAAAAGAAAGCTCTTGTTACAGAAAGAACCCCTAGATAAATAAGCTATGAAGACAAAACTGGAAAGCCACCTCCGTTATAAATTTTCATCCGACTTTTTTATTTTTGCTGATTGATAACGATTAATTCAGACCTATTTATCTGGTCCGTGCTATTCTGAAGAAGAAATACTAAGACTGGATCAAGAGACACTTAAGATTGTCTTTCTACAGATAAAACAGCCGCCTCACCTATACACAGTGTAAGGGACAGACAAGGTGGACAGACGGGAGAAGTCCACTCTTAACCCCCGGAACCTGAGGCGAGCCCACGGGGTGACACGTCCTGGAGACCGGAGTTTATACCAAGGGCCCCAAAGCCCGCGCCCCTCCCCAGGAGCAAAGACATATTTGGCTGCACAATACACAGGACTTCCTCACAAAGCTCCAGAGAGACCCTCCTTGGGCTCGGTGGGGGGAAAGGGGGGACCTTTTTGCACACACCTCGTTAAAAGCACTTTAACGAAACGTTCATGGTGAAGACAAGATGCTGACCATAATTTGCAAAGCCTCTCGGAAGCCCAAGGATTCCTTAAAAACGTTGTATTTCCAGGGTTAGGAATGGCACCTTGGCAGCCAGGACAGGCCAACTTGTTCCCCGCAGGCAAATGTCTCCTGCCTTTGCGCGGGCATTGAGGGGTGGGTGACACATCCACTCCCCTGCCCCAGACTGCCTTAACAAGACAGCACACACTTCCACGTCACCGCGAACGAGTGACAGACAATCCCAAAGGCACAAAGGGACTTGGCAGAATCGCCGAGGCTGTTGGCCACGCGACGCTTGAGGGGCTTACCGTTTTGCCTCTGGTTCCCTTGGGTCCAGTCTCTCCTGGACCACCGGGGTCCCCAGTCTCACCCTAAATAAATGCGCAGAATAAATGGGTATTAAAATCTAACACGCACTTGCATATTTCACAGGGACACATTTGCACCTTTAAGCTGATTCCACCATGAAGGCATTTTTCCTGTCTGTCTGTTCTTAATGCTCTTTCTGATGTTTCTTTTTCTGGTTATGGGTGTCACTCTACAGAACACCCTGCCTGGGTGCTTCTCTGTCTCCCTGCCAGAACACAGGCTCTTGGGAGACATGAACTGTGCCCCGCATCCTGTCCTCTGACCCTGACTCGACCACAGGACCTGGCGTTTACTGAGTTCAGTAAGGGTTTCCAGAGAAAGCAAAAGCCCCATGTGGGAGGATGTCACTGCCAGAAAGCATCAGATAGTTTTGGTTTTCTTTACATTTTACTCTGTGGGGGCAAGAAAGAAAATACATATGATAGCGGGAAAGGAGTACGTCTGAGAATTCTTTGCCTCTGAATGAAAGACAAGAAGGGCAATATTTTTAAAAGTCTTACACGCTCAGACAAACAGGTAATCATGAAAATGGCAGCCGTGGGCCCGCGTCCTCCCTCCCTCCTGACCCCACAGAGGTAGGACGTTTATTTATCCTTAACTGTCCTTCGACCGGCCGGACACATGTCACTCCCAGGAGTGCTGTGATCGGCCCCGTCACTGGGAAGCACACGGTACCTGAGGGCCACCTTCTCCGGGGAATCCTTCCTGCCCCTGAAATGACAGTGAGGAAGGTTAGTGGCTGCACGCCTCGCCGGCCAGGCTCACATCAACTTACCCTTTCACCTGCAGCCCCGTCGCCAGGGCCCCTGAGCAAGGAAGGGCCAGCCCCTTGGAAGCTGGAGCCGCGCGGCAGTATTCGAGGAACAGACTCCAGTTCTGAACTGAAACTAGTTACTGGTTTCATCAAAGTAGCGGGACTGTCTAAGACAGTGGCTGAACGTCTCCCTCTGAAGAATCACGGACCAGCTTTCCTTCTCCCGTGCACACATCGCAGAAGAGGCGGTCCCTGGCCACGCGTCTCTGAAGGGGCCTTCCTAAAATGGGTTTCCGCGGGGAAATTTGGGAAGTCGAAGTCTGATCATTCATTTTTGGGGACTTTGGCCAAGGACTATAGTTGAAGAGATAGAATCATCCCCAGTTGATGAAAAAGTACATTTTTAATTTAAAGTTCATTTTCTGATTGTTAAAAGGAGTAAATCCTCAGGCATGTATAAAATCAAAAGAACAGAAGAAAAATCGCCCAAATCTTACCACTCAGAACAACTACATGTGCCTTGTTATATTTCCTTTCAGCTTTTCAAAATGCCTCTTGACACAACTGGATAACTTTTTCTGAGTATGTTTTGAGTTTTTACTTGAAAATGTCACATACAAATTTCTTTATGTAATTGTAAATTTCATGCACATTTATTTTGCAGGGGGGCTAATATTCCAGCACCATAAGCTACATAATATTTCCCTTCTTGTGAGACATTAAGGGGTTATATTATGCGATATTTGCGGTTGATGATTCTCGTCAACATTTCACTGGAACGCCCTCAGTCATTCCCTTCCCTTTTCAGAAAGGCCTACTTTTTGGTTCTCTGTTCTTCCAGACGGCCTCTGTGTCATTCTCATTGGGATTTCGCTTGGAATGACCTTGAGCCTTCATAAGAATTCAGATTTTCCAACAAGAACTCCGTATGCCTCTCCATTTATTGACGTCTTACATCTCAGTAACTCTTTGTTATAGCATTCTCAAATATTTTGCGGAAAGGATTTTCTTACCTACATGAAGATTTTTGTGGATTTTGTAATGATGGTTGGCCACTTTTCATTCTGACTTCTTGGTGGTTGTTGTTAGAATGTAGAAATTGCTGGGTTTGGTAAACTTATCTGTCTTAGTTCTTTCGATGTTACTTAGGTATTCAGGGACAATATAAAATTATCACTCTGATGTACTGTTTTTTTCAAGTTATTGCTTGCACAATGTATTTAGCAAAGCCCTGCAAACGTCTCACGAGTAGCTAAAGCAACTGTAGTAAGAGTAGAACAACTTGTGCAGTGCCTCCCTGAGTGGACCCGAGCGCCCAGTGGCTGGGGGAGAGGACCCGTTCAGGCCGGGCCCCGTCAGACCCCGGCCACCGTCACTGCGAACAGCAGGACACTCGCTTCCAGGATTCAGGGGCTGCCTGCACCTGCACCCCCCACGTCCCTTTCTCCTCCACCCTAGGCCCTGTGGGGTATCAGCAAATCAGCTCCCCAGATACCTGCCTCCCTGTCCAAGGCTGCCTGACTCACGACTTTCTTTTTTCTCTCGAGTGTGGCAAACAAGACCACAAAAAGTGAACCGAGGCGGCGACTCACCTTGGCTCCCCTGCTCCCGACACCGCCGTGCCCCGGGCTGCCATCAGCACCCTGCAAACCAAGCATTCGTGACTGAGCCCGACGGCCACGCCCAGAAGGACAGGGTGCCGCTTTGGGCTTGAAAAGGGAGGCCAGGGAGCAGGGTCCCTCCCGGGGCTGGCGTCCGTGATGGTCGTGCTGAAGTCACATTGTCAGCCACAGGTCTGCACTGTCCCTCCTCATCCGAGAACGGGGACTAGTAATTGTACCCTGGCCGGGCGTGGTGGCTCCAGCCTGTCATCCCAGCACTTTGGGAGGCCGAGGCGAGGGGATTGCCTGAGCCCAGGGGTTCGAGACCCGCCTGGGCAACTTGGCAAGAACTCGGCTCTACAATAAACCGAAAGATTAGCTGGGCGTGATGGTGTGTGCCTGTGGTTCCAGCTACTTGGAAGGCTGAGGCGGAAGGATCGCCGGAGCCCAGTGGGTCAAGGCTGCGGTGGCTGTGAGTGTGCCACTGTCCTCCAGCCCGGGTGATGGAGTGAGACTCCGACTCCAAAAAAAAAAAAAA